GAAAGCCGCAGCCGCACTTCCCGGTATAATAGGGAGTGTTGTTTCCTGGCTATTGAATTTATTAGCTAAGACCACCACTTGGCTTAGTCAAAACTTGTGGGGGTTGATCGTAGCAATTGCAGGGCTGTTGTACGTGTTCGCTAAGAACTATTTAACCAAATCATGAGTAAGCCAACCGAGACTCCACCCACTACAAGCGCTGTTTTTTCATCGATATGTTGTTGATTTTTAGCCTCAATATGCGGTGGTACTTGAGCATTAGTAGATGGTTGAGCGATAGTTGGTGTTTGCGGCTTGACTATTCCCTTTTCACCCGTGATCGTTTGCGTTATTAATTCGACGTTAATATCTGAATTTATACCTGTTTTTTGTTGATCGGTAGCGATAACAATTTTATTATTATAGCCTATCACTTGACCTATCTTAAGTTCCATATTACTCGGGGACATGTATAGTCCCGGCGCATAAACGAAGTCCACTTTGGATTGAGCGTACTGTAATGCATCTTGAAAACGCTTTATAGACGATGGTATGTCAACTGGTGAATTAATGGCGTCCTCCACGTTTGCAACAAACTGTTTTTGTGCATCGAGCGCCGTCCCAGAACCGATAATGGATGTTCGTGTTTGCGATTGTGCACCGAGAATTGCCCATACATAAGTTCTTATCGATTCATTAAATCTTACAAATCCTGGGTTAGTAAAATTATTTTCCGTTTTATCATTAAGAAATTCATTCCAAGCGTTTGCGGTATCGTTCATTTGTATAAATTTTGTAACAATATAAGCCAAACCACCCTTAAAACTCATAAGGGAACCTCTCCAATCGTTACTCGAAAGTTCCCAGCCATGATTAAGATTATGCAATCTTACAAAAAGATTGTCTTTCTGTAAGAATTTAAATGGATCGAATGGTTGATGAGTTTTTTTAACTAAATCATCGCTGACTTCTTTTACAGTTCTTTGTCCGCTGTACGGAACACCTAGACCATGGTTTGCTCCTTTAATACGCCAATCTTTACTCGTAGAAACATTAAATTCATTACAAATACGCTCATACGCGGACCTATCATAATTATTATTTGTGGAATTCCACGCTCGATCCTGCGGTAATGGAGCACTAATTTCTTTAAGTATACGTCTAATCTGATAATACACATGAAATAATAAAACAGACTTATTTAGCATAAATCCTGGGGCATTAACAGATACGCCACATCCCGTTGTGGCACACCATATGGCAAAGTTTAACTGATTCTGCCAAAATTGCATCGGATTGTGAAACCAATCGTGCACCATTTTATCGCTAGTTGCCGTGACCCTGTACTTTTCAAAGATATCTGGGAATTTAACGAAAAATTCAGCACCAGAGGCAGTTACTATAATCGATTGATTAGTAATGTATCTCGATTTCATATTTAAGTTATGATATAGTATCATTGTATATTTAATATGTATGTTACACTACCTGGAATAACAAATGGTCAGTCTATTGAACTGCTTCATACTATCGATAACTCGGATGGACAACTCGAAGTAGCTCTATGCGATGTAATGTATTACCCGCTGTGGACCAATATAAGTGCTGCGAGAGATAATAATGAGTTGTCTATAACAGATAAACAAAATATTATTGAAAAAAACATTAATATACCTGATGGGTATTACAATATATGCTCACTCAATGATAACATTTTTAAGCCTAATGGAATTAGTATCACACAAAATGAGTCGAATGGGATAGTGAAAATCGGCACTGGAGAAAAAGGTATGTGGATTCATGAGAACTTAGCAATTACACTTGGATTTACACAGGTAGAAAGATCAAGAGACTTTATATTATCAATATTCAGGACAACATCTGATGGAGATGCATTACCCGATTTAGTTCCCTATAAAGAGTTGTTCATCCATCTTGATCAAATAAGCACGATGGATAATATTCAACTAGAAAGTCCTTCAACTCTTCTCAGAAGTGTTCCAGTTAAAAATGAAAAATATAATAGCGGTAGAACGGAATCTTTCTCGTTATTACAATATAAAAAAATGAAGCGGGGTATTATTTCAGACCTTAAAATTTCTGTATTAGATGTAAAACATCAACCTGTACATATAGGATACTTAAGTGTAACACTCCATATTAAAAATAATGGTTAATTCCATATTTAAGTTATGATATAGTATCATTGTATATTTGATATGTATGTTACACTCCTGGGAATAACAAATGGTCAGTCTATTCAACTGCTTCGTACTATCGATAACTCGGATGGACAACTCGAAGTCGCTCTATGCGATGTAACGTATTACCCACTGTGGACCAATATGAGTGCTGCGAAAATTAATAATAGGATACATATATTAGATGAAGATGCTCCTGACAAATACATTACTATACCTGATGGGTATTACAGCGTATGCTCACTCAATGATGAAATTTTTAAGCCTAATGGAATTAGTCTCTCACAAAATGAATCGAATGGGATGCTGAAAATCGACACTGGAGAAAATGGTGTAATTCTTATCCCATACTTAGGAATTACACTTGGATTTGAGCTTAAAATTATAAGTTCTAACGAAACACAACATGGAAATACATTGCCCGATTTAGTTCCCTATAAAGAGTTGTGCATCCATCTTGATCAAATAAGCACGACGGATAATATTCAACTAGAAAGTCCTTCAACTCTTCTCAGAAGTGTTCCAGTGAAAAATGAAAAATATAATAGCGGTAGAACGGAATCTTTCTAAACATTACAATATAAAAAATTGAAGCGTGGTATTATTTCAGACCTCAAAATTTCTGTATTAGATGTAAAACATCAACCTGTACATATAGGATACTTAAGTGTAACACTCCATATTAAAAATAATGGTTGATGCATCAGGCCCTGGAACAGTAAGACAATGTAATACAATTGCGCTTTCCGATCTCGGAGACACAGAAGGATTTGATAAACCCGGTTACAATGGTAAGTTATACGCTTTACACTTACTAGATAATGTATACAAGCGGAAAGAAGTCACATTCACGGGTAATCTAGGAGATTTAAGCGATGTCGATGTTAGTAGACTCCTTAAAAACACTTCGTACAATATTACTCGCAACGATGATAATAAATGGACTATGGTCGAAGCAAACATCGAGTGGCTACTGAATATCGTCATTACCCCACCTTATGTGATGATGGGTAAGGGACATAATTTAACTAAGATAATAAATAGTGGCATCGTACTCGCGGCTTATATCCCATCAAAACGAAAAAGTGTGTTGGTCACTCCCCTGCCAGATGACCCAGGTCATATGTTATATAGTCGTCCGTCCTTAAAAAACATTAGTTTAAATTTGGTTACTGAATTCGAAGATATTAAAGTTAACCTGAGTGCAATACCTAATATTTCTACGCTTATTATTGAAGTCTTGTTCGGAGATGCACCGGAAGATGCCTTCGATATATTACCAGGTCTATCGATTAAATGGCTCAAGAAACACGAGCGTCAACGTTGCAGTATTATTCATATCGGAGCATCGCCCGTTGCAACCCTCGAGGGGGTCCAAATTATTAAAAGTGACAGTATTTCTCTTTCTAAGATATTCTTGCCGTATAATATACATTTGATAAGGTTGATGTATAGTCTCAAAACATTTAAGCAAGACCAATTAAAGACTATTATATGATCGTTATATACACTATGAGTTTATATCCGGCGCTCAATGAAGCATTTGAAAAGATGGATACCGTTGATGGATTTCGATTACATCAAATAAGCGACATAAAACATCGAATAGTGAAGGAGAGGGAGTTGAGACTTGGATTGTATAAAAAGTATCGCAGAGCCGTGAATGCTCTGGACGGAGTTAACACCGCTCTTGTAGTATCTGGCATGGGACTCGGTGTAGCGGGTATCGGTTTACTATCAACTATAATCGCCGCGCCTATCGTGCTCGGCATGGAAATAACCGCTGGAGTCTCGGGACTGGCAGGAAGAGCGATAAAATTCATTTCTCGTAGGTTACAAAAGAAAGCATTAAAACACGATAGTATTCGGATACTCGCCGAAGCAAAGTTGAACAGCATCGAGGATCATATTTCGACAGCAATGGCCGATTGTAAGATATCCGAGGATGAGTTTCGTTTAGTGCTGTCGGAGCTTAACAAATACAATAAAATGAAGCAGGAGATTCGATCAAAATCTCGTAAGACCAGTGGTATTAGCGAAGACGAGAAAAAAAAGTTCATAGAAGAGGGGAGGCAACAAGCTCGTCAATTATTCCGTGCCAAAACCAAAGAACTGGTTGGAGATTAAAAATAGATTGTTTACTATCGTGTGATTACATTTAGACAAATGCTAACATAAATATATAATAATGGAGAAAGCTATTCAATGGAAAGAATTACCACAAGGTTTTTATTATATCAGTGATGTCAAACCAACCAAATACGGTTATCAATTGTTTCTTATCAATTTACAAAAAGAGTGTAGTTATATAGTCTGGTCTCCTAGTAAAATGAACGAAGAACTTAATAAAAATGTTGAATATCGCTTTATCGATAAAAATAATGAAGAATATTTTTATTACCATTTAGGCTCATCTAAAGCAATGATTGGCCCCAGGTATTGGTGAGCTAGAGCCAATTTAACTTAATCTTATGACTATCATTAAATCGCATCATCATTTTGGCATAAAAAATTCCATCTGTAGTAGCAGTATAGGTATACGATTCCTGCTCCAGTGGAGTTGCGGCAGAACCATCATTACCTATACTACTTGTAATGTCCACAACAAAGATTTCACTATTATGCAATTCCTTCTAGGCTTACAACGTATCAATCAACCCTCATAAGTTCTGTTTTTCAATGATACATTAAATTCTGATGCCATAGCAGTTATGTTAAAAGTTCTATTCCCATTACCAATTATATGATTTTCTATTGGTGCCACTAGTTCACAACATCCTAGTGGCTCTGTTTTTTAAGTATTAATTTCTTTTTTTTCAGGTACCTTGTTGCAGTTATTTGCAAGAAACTATGCTACAAAACAGAACGTGTTTGCGTACTCTGGTAAGTTTGCAGGATCAGCTTGGTACCCATGGGGATTTCGGGTAAGAATAAAGAATCCCAAGCAACTTATGCTTGTTGTAAGAATTGGAAGGTTAGGCTTGGTGAATTGGTTGGTTGCATGTAGTAGTATAGGTAATGATGGTCCTGGCTCACTTCCACTGGAGTCAGATTTATATACCTATACCACCACTACAGATGGAATTTTTTATGTCAAAATGATGATGCGATTCAACGATTGTCATGAGATTAAACTAAATTGTAAGAAAATATTCTCTATTATTTTTACTCATACGCATACCATTATTTTGAACAAAGTAATATTCAACATTTTTACAAAGTTCTTGTTTCTTTTTACTAGGAGACCAGACTATATACTCTTTTTCGAAATTGGAAAGAAACAATTGATGACCGTATTTGGTTGGTTTGACATCATCGATATAATATATACCCTGTGGTAATTCTCGCCATTTGATTGGCTGCATTATTATATACTTATGTTAGCATTCGTTTAAATGTGATCAAGCAATCTATTTTTAATCTCAAACCATTTCTTTGGTTTTGGCACGGAATAATTGACGCGCTTGTTGTCTCCCCTGTTTTATGAACTTTATTTTCTCGTCTTCGCTAATACCACTGGACTTACGATAATTGGATCGAATCTCCTGCTTCATTACGTTGTATTTGGTGAGTTCTGACAGCACTAAACGAAACTCCTCCTAGGATATCTTACAATCAGCCATTGCTGTTGAAATATGGTCCTCAATGCTGTTCAACTTAACTTCGGCGAGTATCGAAATATTATCATGTTTTAATGCTTTCTTTTGCAACCTACGAGAAATAAATTTTATCGCTATTCCTGCCTGTCCTGAGACTCCGGCGGCTATTTCCATGCCAAGTACGATAGGCGCGGCGATTATAGTTGATAATAAACCAACACCGGCTACACCGAGTCCCATGCTAGCTGTTACAAGCGCAGTGTCAACTCCGTCGAGAGCATTCACGGCACTTCGATACTTTTTATACAATCCAAGTCTCAACTCCCTCTCCTCTATTCTATGTTTTTATGTCGCTTTTTTGATGTAATCGAAATCCATCAATAGTATCCATCTTTTCATCGAGCGCTGGATATAAACCTATAGTGTATATTATTATATCATATAATAGTCTTTAAGTGGTCTTGCTTCAATGTTTTGAGAGTATACATCAGCCTTATTAAATGTATATTATACGGCATAAATATCTTAGTAAGAGAAATGCTATTACTTTTATTAACTTGGATCCCCTCAAGGGTTGCAACGGGTGATGCTCCTACATAAATTATACTACAACGTCGACGCTCGTGTTTCTTAAGCCATTTGATTGATAGACCTGGTAATATTTCGAAGGCATCTACTGGTACATCTCCAAACAAGACTTCAATAATAAGTGTAGAAAGATTAGGTATTGCACTTAAGTTCTGTTTTATATCATTGAATTCGGTAACCAAATTTAAACTAACCTTTTTAAGTGCCGGACGACTCAATAACATATGACCTGGGTTTTCTGGCAGTCGAGAGACTGACACACTTTTTCGTTTTGAGGGGATATAAGCCGCGAGTACGATCCCACTATTTATTATCTTAGTTAATTGATGTCCCTTACCCATCATCACATACGGTGGGGTAATGACGATATTCAATAGCCACTCGATTTTTTCTTCGATCATAGTCCATTTATTATCATCGTTGCGAGTAAGATTGTATGAAGTGTTTTATTGAGTCTACTAACGTCGACATCGCTTAAATCTCCTTGATTACCTATGAATGTAATGTCTAATGTCTTTCCGCTTGTATACATTATCTTGTAAGTGTAAAGCGTATAACTTTCCATCGGTACCGGGTTTACCGAATCCTTCTGTGTCTCCGAGATCGGAAAGCGCAATTGTATTACATTGTCTGTGTTCCAGGGCCTGATGAATCAACCATTATTTATAATATGGAGTGTTACACTCAAGTATCCTATATGTACAGGTTGATGTTTTACATCTAATACAGAAATTTTGAGGTCTGAAATCATACCATGCTTTAATTTTTTGTATTGTAATGTTGAGAAAGATTCCGTTCTACCGCTATTATATTTTTCATCTTTGACTGGAATAGCTCTAAGCATAGTTGAAGGATTTTCGAGTTGAATATTATCCGTCGTACTTATCTGATCAAGATGGATGTACAACTCTTTATAGGGAACTAAATCGGGTAATTTTAACTCCATGCCCTGTTTCGTTGGGTTTGATTACTATTGCTATTCTTTCTTCTCCTGTATTACAAATCCAAGTGTATCTGATAAGCTCCAATCAATAATTACTTGCTTTTCTCCAGCCCTTTAAATCAGGAACCCATTCGACTCATTTTGTGTGAGACTAATTCCATTGAGCTTAAAAATTTCATCATTGAGGGAGCATACGCTGTAATACCCATCAGGTATAATGACGCGATTGCCTTCACCACTGAAAGCTTCAGTTAGTCTTAACAAATTATTATCTCTCGCAGCACTTATGTTGGTCCACCGCAGGTAATACGTTACATCGCATAGAGCGACTTCAAGTTGACCAGCCAAGTTATCGATAGTATGAAGCAGTTGAATAGACTGACCATTTGTTATTCCTGGGAGTGTAACATACATACAGTCGTGCCTCGTTTATACAGACTTCAGATATCCAGAAACCTCGGTTCCCGGACAATTTTCATTCAAAACGGAATAATTACTATATAAATTTACCCGTATATCCGGAAATTTAGTTTCCGGAACCGGACGGTCATTTTCATACACAAAATACTGAAATGCACACAATATTGTCTCACTTATCTGGACAATACACTTTCGCTGGTGGTAATCCTTCCGCTGGTGGTAATCCTTTGATTCCTGAGAAGTCAATTAACCAAGTGACACTGAGTTACGTTTGAGACAAGCTTGTTTATTCTACATGTAATCCCCTTCGATAAATATGGCGTCTGTGGAGGTCAGAGGTCAAAGTTGTGTAAGTATAACCTGTCAACCATCGAATCTTCAGCGATACGCAGTTACAGCACGCAAAAAAAAGGGAAATTTGTCTGTTTAAAGAAAAACACCCTTCAGCAAGTTTAGAAACCATCAGTAAGCATAATGGCACTGAATTTGGACATACCATAGGAAAATCGACAATTGGTGACATTTTAAAAGACAAACAGAAGTGGCTAAATCTCCTGGAAAATGGATGTATCTGTTTGCTCTGTCATCTGTCATGAGTTGCATAATTGATGGGAAGTAACTCTTCCAGTAAGGAGCTGGTTTCAGTTATACGGAAATTCGTTTATACGGACGAATTGTGAAATGATGCAAGTGTCCGTATAAACGAGGCACGACTGTATTAAATATACAAAGATACTATATCATAACTTAAATGTGAAATCAAACATTATTTATAATATGAAGTGTTACACACAAGTATCCTATATGTACAGGTTGATGTTTTACATCTAATGCAGAAATTTTTTATATTGTAATGATGAGAAAGATTCTGTTCTACCGGTATTATATTTTTCTCCTTTGACTGGAATAGCTCTCAGTAGAGTTGAAGGACTTTCGAGTTGAATATTATCCGTCGTACTGATCTGATCAAGATGGATGCACAATTCTTTATAGGGAACTTAATCGGGTAATTTAATTCCATGCACTGTATCGTTGGGTGGTATTATTCGCGTTTTGCCTTTAAGTCCAAGTGTTTCTGCAAAGATCTTGGCAAGAAGTAAATTCTCTTCTCCAGCGTTTAATTTCAGCATCCCATTCGACTCATTTTGTGTGAGACTAATTCCATTAGGCTTAAACATTTCATCATTGACTGAGCATACGCAGTAATACCCATTAGGTATAACAATGCGAGTGTGATCAATACCTAATTCTCCTATTATAAACTTATTATTTTCTATCACATCATTTATATTGGTCCACCGTGGGTAATACGTTACATCGCATAGGGCGACTTCAAGTTGTCCATCCGAGTTATCGATAGAATGAAGCAGTTGAATAGACTGACCATTTGTTATTCCCGGGAGTGTGACATACATATTAAATATACAAAGATACTATATCATAACTTGAATATAAAATCAACTAACATTACTAATTAGTCGATTTTAGTAAGTGCCTCTGGTGCTAATTTTGTTGTTGAATTCCCTGATATCTTTGAAAAACACAGGGTCACAGCAGCTAGCGATAAAATGGTGCACGATTGGTTTCACAATCCAATGCAATTTTGGCAGAACAAGTTAAACTTTGCCATATGGTGTGCCACAACAGGATGTGGTGTATCTCTTAATGCCCCCGGATTTGAACTAAATAAGTCTGTTTTATCATTTCACGTGTACTATCAGATTAGACGTATACTTAAAGAAATTAGTGCCCCATTAACGCAGGATCGAGCAATAATCCGTACAATAGGTTCGCGTATGAGCGTCTTTGTCAGGAATTTAATATTTCTACGAGTAGATTGGCGTATAAAAGGACTTAAACTGTTAAAGAAGAAAGCGATGATTTAGTTGAAAAACTCATCAACCATTCGATCCATTTTAGTTGTTACAGAAAAAAATCTTTTTGTAAGATTGCATAATCTTAATCATGGCTGGGAACTTTCGAGTAACGATTGGAGGGGAGATCTTATGAGTTTTAAGAGTGGTTAAGCTTATATTGTTACAAAATTTGTGCAACTAAACAATTCCGCAAACGCTTGGAATGTATTTTTTAATGATAAAACAGAAAATAATTTTACTAACACATGAGTTGTAAGAGTTAAGGAATCAATAAGAACTTAAAACACGAACAGGAATAATTGGTTCTTGGACAGCGCTCGATGCGCAAGAAACAGTTTGTCGCAAACGTAGAGGATGCTATTAAGTCACCAGTTGACATACCATCTTCTATAAAACGTTATCAAGATGTATTACAGTACGCTCAATCCAAAGTAGACTACGTTTATGGGGCAGGAC